TTTGAAAACGTGACGTAGATCAACTGTTGCAGACATCTCTAGGGGATTTTCTTGACGATAAAAAGTTAATATATTATCTAAGGGTGAGTGCAGGTTGCTACAAGATGGTAAGCTCTCCTTTAGGCTTTCCAATCCATCACAAACCGTTGAGGACTATGCCACCATTTTATTATAAATAAGGCACCGCCTAGAGAAACACGGATGTCTGCAGTTACGTACGGCCGTTTCCAATCCAGTTCCTTTCCTGTATCTATGGTCTGCCTGATACCCAGCATATAGACATGAACATAAACTTCATTGTGTACACTAATGTTTTACCTGCTTATTCTTGTTTTGAACAGAAAGATGTGCTTTTCTCCTTTTTACCATACTGGCACAATCATGCTCTGATGAAATATTTTGACAACTACCTGCAGCAACCAGTGTGTGCAGCATGTAATGTTTCTTGTAATTGTAAGCCAAAATTAACCTGTGGCTGTTCTGAACTTTGATGACTTCTCATTCTTTGGTTCTTTTTTTTCCCAGTAAAAACCTATGATTGTTTGCCAATTAAATTTCTTACTGTATTTACCTCAGAAATCTGTGAATTCTGCTGAAGTAACTGCTGAGATTTGTAGGCACAACTAAGGCTGGTGTGTGTGTCATTACTAGTTTGATAATCTTTGAAAGAGACAATGTAAATAGTTTCAGAATCTACAAAACACAAAACGATAAGAGTGCATTTATACCATCAGGATATTTCAATGTAGATTTAAGTGTAATTATGTATGACCTCCACCAGGCCTTATCACTTTCAGAGTGATGCAGAATTGGGAATACTGTGCCACTATGCTTCAGTATCCATCTTATCTCCCCTTTGGCATTAAGCATGCAGGTCCGATTGGAGGTGGTAATTTCTACATTAGTATGTGAAAGAATACTTGGCACAACAATAATTATTATAAGGAAATGCACACTTAAGTAATTGCAGTCCACAACTATTCAGAAGCTCCCACACATCATGACTCCATTGTTTGTAATACATTTAAGCACAATCTTTAGCATTTCTAACAAATCTGAAATGGTGGTGTAATTACAATGATATACAAACACAAAAAAACCTGAATATGTGTGAATTAGCACAGGAAAAAGTTTTCAAAACCCATTGATGGGGTATGGCTTATTTATGGTAATAAAAAATTCCATGACTGGGTTTTACGTACAGTAACAGCTTTCTGGCATTCTACTAAATGGGAATCAATGATTCCTATTACTGGGATTTGAAAGACCAACTTGAAATTATAATGGGACTTCATTTCCCAATGATGTATGTTAGAGCTAGAAATAAACACGTCATGGGAATGTACAGTGGGATCTTAATTCCCAGTAGTGGTATTTAGATTCACATAATAGGAAACAATAGTACTTTGTCCCATCAATGGGAATGTAGGGTGAAACTTTAATTACCAGTAATGGTATTTAGATTCACATAATAGGAAGTAATAGTACTTAGTCCCATTTATGGGAACTTAGAGTGGGATTACGATTCCGAGTAATGGTCATAATAGGAAATGATGGTACTTTTATTCCCATGAATGGAAATGAAGAAAGGGCTTTGACATATTTAAATTCACACAATAGAAAATAATAGTACTATTAGTCCCATCAATGGGAACGTAGACAAGGTTTTAATTGCCAATACTGGTAATGCACAAAATATTGAAATCAGTTTTACCATAAAATGTAGTGTTGCTGTTTCTTGCAGGTGCTAGTATAATTGAGGGACATTTGCAGATGCTGCAATAAAAATGATAAAATTAATTTTTATGAATGGACATCTTATTAACATTTTTATTATTGCGTTTATACAGCATGTTTTTCTAACATTGCATTAATACAGCAATTATTTTTAGTTATTTCTGTTGTTTCTATCCATTGCCATGCAACCCATTGTCCTTGTGCATAGCTTCTAATAGAGTCCCTGGCTATATTTACTCTTGCAGAGCGACCATGAGTGGCATGACGATACTTTGCGGACAAGATCTCCCTGATATTATATAGGCGGTAGCCTATAAGTATGATTGAGGTTGGTTTTTCAAGATGGCGGCCGTTTTTATGATTTTCAAACATTTATAACACTTTTATCTTACGTTGTACAGCCTTATAAATGGCTTAAATGAGCTCTCCTTCACTGAGCAATTCTCCTAGTACCTTTAAAGTGGACTGTAATGTAGCAGGAGCAATTCTGTAGAATAGGCCCAAATTCAAATTTCTACAAAATTCTTCAGACTTGTTCTTCTTCTTCTTCTTCTTTCATCTTCTTCTATGCACCCGTTAATCTTTTAAGCCAGAGAAGTGCTCGAGTTGGCTTTTACATCATTCCTCTAGGCTTGGGTCAAGGACCACAAAGGTGGCTTCAAAAAGTAGCGAGGACAGAGAAGAAACGGCAGACAAAATCCAGCTGCAGACACCGCATGGGTTTGTTGTTTGACGCCATTTTAATTTATGCACACGTGATCAGCATGAATATAATTAACCTAACCACAGAATCATAATAGAATGTAATTTTATTAATTTATGAAAAAAAATGGAAACAAGTAAATAAAAAACATTAAAAATGAAAAAGTAGTAGGATTGAATTTGGAAAAGTAAAGAAACATTAGGGTACTTGCAAACTGGT